CTTGTTTTCCTTTTTCAATATTGACAAATCTCCACAAGAAAAAACTGTAATCCTTTACCACGTGTACATTAAAATACACTAACAAGTTTTTCAGTAATAAGCAATCAATGAATATGTATTACTAGCTAGAAACATAAATATATTAACGGCATGTGTAATTGTCTAGATCTACAGATAAGATGTTTTCCACTATGAACTATTTGTTTATAACGCATTTTTCTTGGCTTAGGGCTAGTTTAACAAAATATTTCTACCAAAATTATTGATAGATACGCACCGTTTTGATTATCAGATATATGATAGGATCGGCATTTACTTGATAAAGATTCATAACTTTATAATAAATTATAAAATTCGTAATTTTCATAATTTTTCTATTTTTACTACGACACGCGCCATCACAGTAGCTTTTGTGGTAAAGGTAAAAAGTGAGTTTTATTATTTTTTTATAAAAATATCAAAAATATGATAGACGTAATGCATAAGATTAAAATGAAATGTGTGTCGGTATAATTAATAGAGATTCTAACCAATATTCCATAAATGTTTTGGTCAAGAGATTATTTTCAAGAGGTGCGGATTTATAACTCATTAAAGATAGCCGTTGGGCGAAAATTATTCTGGAATGATTTTTATTAAACTCCTTGAAACTTTTATTGCTCTCTTTATTGAACACGAATAATCATTATGCAGTAGAGAAAAGAAAAATAATTATAACGTCTGCTGAACACTGAATATCTTTTACTGTTTTCAAAAGAAATAATAATTTATTCTGATGTACTAGTGGTGTTATAATATAATTCTGTCTGATACGAATTGACTTATTAGCATAAATGTAATACCAGCGTAAATGCAAAAAAAAATCGTAAGTTGCATGCAGCTTATTAAACACTTTTTTTGCAAAATACCGATGCAAATGGCGGTTTGACCTTCAAGAATCATATAAAAACGAAATGTTAATTGATTTAATCAGTGCGTCTACACTTTTATTCCTTTCACATTATCCACTCTACTTAACACTACAAGAACAATTTACAAAAAATATATAGGTTTGATATATTATACATATATACAGAAATAAGTATTTACAGACTTGAAATAAAATTATTTAATAAAGACTACGGTTATATTTATTTAAATATTTTCTTTTCACGTGGCCTTTTCTTCGACTGTTGCACTTTTCTACGTAAAATATTAAAAACTATCACAGAACAAGTGGCACGTATTTTCAATGCTATCTAAAGTGGTTACGTTTTCGTGTTTCTTGTTGTACTTTTATGCAGGCTTTTATAACTTGGCTTCGGTTGCTGAAAGGACAATTATGAAAAACACTTAACATCAAGGGCATTAGTAATTGTCATTGTTGAAACACTTACACTTAGTGCATCTTGCAATTCTATCTTTAGAAGGCGTTGAATGCCTTTAACGTTTCGGCGGATTATACGATAAAGTTCGTTTCTAGTTATCCTGTAAGGACCCTCTGTTGTTGTAGCATTTTCATCCAATTGGCGCTGTGGTTTCTATTTATAAGAACAGGGATAATCAAATTTAAAACTATTTTGTGTTCGTTTAGTTCTTACATAGGAGCATAAAGAAATTTAGTTTTCAGTTTTTTGTATCAAATGAACTAAATTTGTCTGTATTATCTGAGAATTATTTAAATTATAATAAACTAGACAACTCATTCAAATTAGGGCGGATGGTACTACTGGTGATCGTAACATAATGATTCCGGGGGCTGACATTTAGCCACAATCACTACCTCATCCTATCCTGTAACCCTGTGACCGAATATTGACATTTGAACACGTCTAAAGATTGGTGACTTTTAATTTAAAATTTTGATTGAAATTTAGAACAACATTGAACTAGGACTTAAAACATAGTTTCATCGTTTAATAAGACATTTTAATAACCAGGTAATCCCAAAACGTCGGATCTCGGGAAAATACGTACAAAGAAACAAAAAGAACTTCTTCTGTTTACAATATTAGTGGGTACTAATAGTTTGAAAGTAACACGAAATGTGGAATTTGAATGTAACACTTTCGATTTCATAACAATTCCTATTTAATGGCAATAGTTGTACTTACAACTTGACTCTCATCAATAAACTGGGCGTTAATGGTACTGGTTACTTTATTGATCGTACTCTTTGTATCTCGCCATTGCTACAAAGAAATTTATTTAGTATGACAAATTAGTAAAGCTTTCGCGGTCAGTTGGTGAACTGGTGTTATCCTGATTCGGTTTTAAAGGCCGTCGTCAGTGGAGCTGCTTCATAACGGTGACCAGCTTCTTCAGAGGACTTCGTCAGGAAACTACTCCAAGCGACGACAGTCTTTAGACTCGAATCAGAAAAGCACCAGCTCATTTAATGTGTTTACAATAATAAATAATAATAGTATTCCCTAGACAAAAACTTTCAGTCTCTCAGAGTCTTTCAGCGTCTCTGGGAGCATCTCTCACAGTCTCTCAGTTATTGCCTAGGTGTTTTTATGGATCTCTCACAATCTCTGTATGTTAATTCAGAGATTCTAGTCTCTCACAGAGAGACTGAATGAATAAAACTGAAAAATTGAGAGACTCGAGTCTCTCGT